GGCCAAACTGAGCGATCAGGGGAGAAGGGCCTTGGTCAGGGAGGTGACCAAGAACCCAATGGTCCCTCCAGAATTCCTCTGTGGAGATGGGAGAACCTTCCAGAAGGACAACCATCTCTGCAGCACTCCACCAATCAGGCCTTTATGGTAGAGTGGCCAGATGGAAGGCACTCCTCAGTAAAAGGCACATGACAGCCCGCTTGGAGTTTGCCAAAAGGCACCTAAAGGACTCTCAGACCACGAGAAACAAGATTCTCTAGTCTGATGAAACCAAGATTGAAGTCTTTGGCCTGAATGCCAAGCTTCACGTCTGGAGGATGTTTTTCAGCGGCAGGGACTGGGAGACTAGTCAGGATGGAGGGAAAGATGAATGGAGCAAAGTACAGAGAGATCCTTGATGGAAACCTGCTCAGGACCTCAGACTACGGTGAAGGTTCACCTTCCAACAGGACAACGACCCTAAGCACACAGCCAAGACAATGCAGGACTGGCTTCGGGAGAAGTCTCTGAATGTCCTTGAGTGGCCCAGCCAGAGTCCGGACTTGAACCCAATCGAACATCTCTGGAGACCTGAAAATAGCTGTGCAGCGACGCTCCCCATCCAATCTGACAGAGCTTGAGAGGATCTGCAGAGAAGAATGGGAGAAACTCCCCAAATACAGGTGTGCCAAGCTTGTAGCGTCATACCCAAGAAGACTCAAGGCTGTAATCGCTGCCAAAGGTGCTTCAACAAAATACTAAGTAAACGGTCTGAATACTTATGTAAATGTCATATTTCAGTTTTTTACTTTTAATACATTTGCAAACATTTTATACAAACCTGTTTTGCTTTGTCATTATGGGGTATTGTGTGTGTGTAGAATGGTGAGGGGGGGGGGGGAACAACAATTTAATACATTTTAGAATAAGGCTGTAACGTAACAGAATGTGCAAAAAGTCAAGGGGTCTGAATACTTTCCAAATGCACTGTATACCATCCAATATTAATTGATTGAGTATTGTAGATGTGTTATTCTTTTATCTCTCACAGACGAGGTTCGCTGGCTGCGAGAGCAGGCGACGGAGAGAGGAGAGGGTCAGGGATGGCGAGTCCGGGAACAGAGAGAAGGATGGAGTAATGGAGGAGAAAGGTGGGCCGTGAGCTCAACACTTTGAGAGGGCACATCACCAGAGCCACACTAGGTAACCTGAAGGAGAGGTGATATGTACCCCTGCCCGATCCTAAATCAACCATTAGCCCTTAGTGTGGAACCATACCAGTTTGGAGTGGTTTGGTGATAGCTGTCCTTTACATTGATCGTTGTCCTTTACAGTTTCAGCTCTAAGCTGCGAAGGGAGGAGTTGGATCATCTGAGGAGAGAGATGGACACACTCACACTCTGTTCTCAGGTTGTTTCTGCAGGACTACACATTTCAGACTCAGAGCCTCTGTAGAGATGGCACAGTCTCGTTTACTCCTACTCCTTCCCTTTCATCTTACAGTGTGACAGGGAGGCATGAGGAGGACATGTTTTTTCAGCAGTCGGAGGCCAGAGAGACGAGGGGGCAGTATGAACGCAGCTGCAAGGTTTGAATGATTGAAGGAATTAATAATACAAGAATGGATGAAGGTAATTTCAGTGACTTTTTTCTAACTTGTTTTCTCTCTGACTCCCGACCCCTAACCTCTAAATATTGTCTTTCCCCAGACACCAGAAGAACTGACAGACAGCTACAGAAACCACAGCTTTGACCTGACCAAGACTGTCCCTCAATACACTGAGCAGATCAGGTGTGTGTGTGTGTGTAATAATGCCATCTCCTGCAGGGTATCTGTATCACTGCTGAAGGACGAGATCAGGAGTCTGATTCTCAAGGAGAGACAACGGCCCGCTCCCAAGGACTGTGGGCTCTCATTCTCCGTGGCTGACGTGAGTATGACATTTAAGCGTGTTAACCCTCGCAAGGCTGCCGGTTCAGACGGCATGTCAAGCCACGTCCTCAGAGCATGCGCAGACCAGCTGGCTGGAGTGTTTACGGACATATTCAATCTCTCCCTATCCAAGTCGGCTGTCCCCACTTGCTTCAAGATGTCCACCATTGTGCCTGTACCCAAGAAAGCAAAGGTAACTTAACTCAATGACTTTCGCCTTGTAGCACTTCTGTCATCATGAAGTGCTTTGAGAGGCTAGTTAAGGATCATATCACCTCTACCTTACCGGACACCTTGGACCCACTACAATTTGCAATAATCCACAGACGATGCAATCGCCATCGCACTACCCTGTCCCATCTGGACAAGAGGAATACCTATGTAAGAATGTTGTTAATTGACTATAGCTCAGCCTTCAACACCATAGTACCCTCCAAGCTCATCATTAAGCTCGGGGCCCTCGGTCTGAACCCTACCCTGTGCAACTGAGTCCTGGACTTCCTGACGGGCCGCCCCCATGTGGTAGGAAACAACACCTCTACGTCGTTGATCCTCAACACAGGGACCCCACAATTGTGCGTGCTCAGCCCCCTCCTGTACTCCCTGTTCACCCATGACTGTGTGGCCACGCACGCCTCCAACTCAATCATTAAGTTTGCTGATGACACAACAGTAGTAGACCTGACCACCGACAACAATGATACAGCATATAGGGAGGAGGTCAGAGACCTGGCAGTGTGGTGCCAGGACAACAACCTCTCCCTCAATGTGAGCAAGACAAAGGACCTGATCGTGGACTACAGAAAAGGAGGGCTGAACAGGCCCCCATTAACATCGACGGGGCTGTAATGGAGTGGGTCGAGAGTTTCAAGTTCCTTGGTGTCCACATCACCAACAAACTATCATGGTCCAAACACACCAAGACAGTTTTGAAGAGGGCACGACAACACCTTTTCCCCCTCAGGAGACTGAAAAGATTTGGCATGGGTCCACAGATCCTCAATGTTCTACATCTGCACCATCGAGAGCATTCTGACCGGTTGCATCACCGCTTGGTATGGCAACAGCTCGGCATCCGACCGTAAGTCGCTACAGAGGGTAGTGTGTATGGCCCAGTACATCACTGGGGCCAAGCTTCCTGCAATCCAGGACCTATATCCTAGGCGGTGTCAGAGGAAGGCCCAAAAAATTCCATAAACTCCATTCACCCAAGTCATAGACTGTTCTCTCTGCTACCACATGGCAAGCGGTCCAAAAGGTCCAAAAGGCTCCTTAACAGCTTCTACCCCCAAGCCATAAGACTGCTGAACAATTAATCAAATGGCTACCCGGACTATTTACATTGACCCCTCTCCTTTGTTTTTACACTGCTGCTACTCGCTGTTTATTATCTATGCATAGTCACTTTACCCCTACCTACATGTACAAATTACCTCGACTAACCTGTACCGCCGCACATTGACTCTGTACCGGTACCCCCTGCATATAGCCTCGTTATTGTTATTTTATTGTGTTACTTTTTATTTTATTTTTAACTTTAATTGATTTAGTAAATATTTTCTTAACTCTATTTCTTGAACTGCATTGTTGGTTAAGGGCTTGTAAGTAAGCATGTCACGGTAAGGTCTACACCTGTTGTAGTCGGCGCATGTGACAAATACAATTTGATTTGATTTGGATTTGGATGACGATCTTGATGATCATGGGAACCTGGTGTTGGGGTTAGACAGCCCCTCTGACCTCAGCCTCAATGACCTTTGACCTTTTAGAGGCTCTGTCATGCCATAAAGACTGTGCTAGAATGATAGTTATTTCTCTCTAGTTTTAAATGTTTAAATGTTTTAAATGTCTCCACATGTGGAGACTAATAAAGAAGGTTTCGGGCACAAACCTCAAACCCTGACTAAAGAGGATGATGAAAAGGCTCAACTCAGCGTGAGGAGAAAAAAAACGTATTTTATAAACTCCTACACAATGTGGAAATATTGTACAACAGGGTTTTGCATTACACACCAACAGTATTTAACTCTACAGTGTGGCAGCCTTCTGTGATTCCGTTAATGAATTACATCTGGAGAAAGTTAACTTGTTTCACTGATGGTATACAACTTGACGATCACTGATGTTTTTGAGTCGGAGACCATCAGCAAAACCTAATGAATTACTATAGTGGACTAATGTTTACTTTGACCATCTAACCTAAGGCTGATGCCAGTCAGTGAGGTGCTTTAATAAAAAAACATCAACATCACTCCAGACTTTACGTCAAACAGTAAAACATATCAACCTTATAATACAGCCAGTAAATTTTTTGCCACTTCATATATGGAGCTACTAATACAGGGGTGCATATTAACTACCATTCAACTCAACTCCACATGGAGTCAAATAGAACCACTCGGTTTCAACTATAACTTTAGTCCCATTGATACAGATGAGTGGCACGACAACAAACATCAGGAGTCTGCAACCAACAGATCTGTCAACCAGAGGGCGGTATCCCAAGCAGGAACTCTTAAGTTAGCTAACTTTGATAAACATTCAGAAATATAAATATCTATTGCTAATTCGTTTAAACAGGTCAACTTTTAAATGTTGAGTCTGTTCAACCATGTCTATTTCTATCTATCAGTATCCACCTGTCCACAGTCTATCTACCAGTATCTTTATGAAGTCCGAAATATGAAGTTATTTCAGAATATTTAGCAGTTTTCTGGCTCTCTTTGATCCTGCATTGTGACACACACACACACATAACTAAAGTCTCCCCAATAAGGTGGGGGTAGGGAAGGAAGGAATGGGTGGGGGTGTTCTTTTTTCCTGTGTGTCTAACACACACACACTGCATTCACCTCACATCAATAGAGCATTATGCTCATAAAAGCTTTACATAAAATAGTTTCTCTCTGACCTCATGCTATACATTTACCATGTCTGTGAGTAGATCAGGTTGGACTATAGAGACGCAGCCCCAGTTCAGAAGGAGAGGGTCTGTGGGGGTCTAGCTGTTCCACCTGGTCAGAGACAAACGGTCTGGGGGGTCCATCTGGCTGTTCCATCAGGTCAGACTGTGTCCTCTCCGTCTCCATCAGAGGCTGTACATGGACAGGGGAGTATCCTCCATCATATCATCCTAAACAGGGATGGCAAAGGATGTCAGCAGGATGATAGGCGGTGAGTGAAGTAAATGCTAACAATGCCTACTTAGCGTAATAGCTCACAAAACAAGCCTAACGCTATCACAAGTCTTCAGGTCTCATTACTGTTAAGCATTACGCTAACTCTTCACCTAACCACTTGTGTTCTACTGTCTCACCATAGGCAGGTCCTGGAGCCTGAGGAACTCAGGCCGTTGGTCCCGTCGTCGCAGTTTGATGAAGAGGAGCAGGGTGATGATGGCTGCAGTGACAGTGAAGGCTGACACTAGTCCAGCTAGGAGAGGGTCCAGGGCAGGAGCGCCATTATGGAACACTGGCTCCCCTGCTGGGGTTAGGGGAACATATACTATATATACACATATACAGTACAACATACATTGAGTGTATAAAACATAAGGAACACCTGCTCTTTCATGACATAGACTGACCAGGTAAAGGATATTTAAGCCTTGAGACAATTGAGATGTGGATTTTGTATGTGTGCCATTCTGAGGGTGATGTGCAGCTCACTCACCGGCGATGACCGATGCATTCTTGCCAAAAGCATGTCTCTCTCGTTTTAAAACAATGCTCTTCGCTCAATAGGCATATTTGGAAGTTGATAACATATTTGGTAGCCTACAGATAGATTAGTTCTCTTTTCAGCAGGAGCCATTTGCTTTCCAATCTGTGTTCCAATTTGAAATATTGCGAAAGGCCTATTTTGGCTGCATGCTGTTCACTGACAGATTTGCTGCGCGTTCCCGACTGTAGGCTTGCCTTGTGATCGGGCTGCACACATAAAAAAATATATATGCCATTGATCCTCTGTGGCTAAATTATAGGCCTATAATTTCTTTCTGAACAGACAGCAGTAATTCTATAACTTTGGCAAATGTATTTCAATTCATCAGGGGTGCTGCAGCACCTCCAGCACCCTTCCAGCGGCTAAGCTATGATTCTTCAAGGAACTAATGATTAAGTGCAACGTTGGAGAGATGAGAGTTGCAGGCTTATGTCTATCAGAGCAGAGAGAGGGAGAGAGATTCTAGTTCTGTGAGAGATACAGGCGGGCACTTCTCTCTGTCTCTCTCTCACCACAGCAATGGCCACGGTTGGTCTATATAGGCTACAATGTTGCGCAAACCATAAACCCGAGCCGGCCCAACACAAATGAATTATTAGAATATCAGGCACGTTTTCAAATTACGTTTTTTAGGGGACAGGAGAATTACAGAGGAGGCTACTTTAATTAACTCTGATTGCTTTTATTATCATTTTTACATAGCAAAGAGTGAAAATTATTTTTCATGCTACGTGAGGTACCGGTTCCATGCAAATGGGTTCTGGAACAAAACAGTCCAAAACTGAGAGGTGCCGGGATCCCAAATTAAGCACTGGGTATGGTAGTAGGTGCCCGACCCACCGGTTTGTGTGTTAAGAACAGCAACTCTGCTGGGTTTTTCACGCTCTAGTTAGCTAGCTAATGTTAACTATAATAAGCTATAAAACATTGTTTACTGTTAGTTTTGAAATACAATTATATATTTATTTGACAATATATACAGTGCATTCGGAAAGTACTCAGACCCCTTGAATTTTTCAACATTTTATTACGTTACAGCCTTATTCTAAAATTGATTAAATTGTTTTTTTCCCTCATCAATCTACACACAATACCACACATTTTTAAAATATGACATTTACATAAGTATTCAGACCCTTTCCTCAGTACTTTGTTGAAGCACCTTTGGCAGCGATTACAGCCTCGAGTCTTCTTGGGTATGACGCTATAAGCTTGGCACACCTGTATTTAGAGTTTCTCCCATTCTTCTCTGCAGAACCTCTCAAGCTCTGTCAGGTTGGATGGGGAGCGTCGCTGCACAGCTATTTTTAGGTCTCTCAAGAGATGGTCCATCGGGTTGAAGTCTTGGTTTCATCAGACCAGAGAATCTTGTTTCTCATGGTTTGAGAGTCCTTTAGGTGCCTTTTGGCAAACTCCAAGTGGGCCTTTTACTGAGGAGTGGCTTCCATCTGGCCACTCTGCCATAAAGGCCTGATTGGTGGAGTGCTGCAGAGATGGTTGTTCTTCTGGAAGGTTCTCCCATCTCCACAGAGGAACTCTGGAGCTCTGTCAGAGAGTGACCATTGGGTTCTTGACCAAGGCCCTTCTCCCCTGATTGCTCAGTTTGGCCGGGCAGCCAGCTCTAGGTCTTGGTGGTTCTAAACTTCTTCCATTTAAAAATGATGGAGGCCACTGTGTTCTTGGGGACCTTCAATGCTGCAGACATTTTTTGGTACCCTTCCCCAGATTTGTGCCTCGACACAATCTTGTCTCGGAGCTCTACGGACAATTCCTTTGACCTCATGGCTTGGTTTTTGCTCTGACATGCACTGTCAACTGTGGGACCTTATATTGACAGGTGTGTGCCTTTCCAAATCATGTCCAATCAATTGAATTTACCACAGGTGGACTCCAATCAAGTTGTAGAAACATTTCAAGGATTATCAATGGAAACAGGATGCACATGAGCTACATATTGAGTCTCATAGCAAAGGGTCTGAATACTTATGTAAATAAGGTATTTCCGTTTTTTATTTTTAATCCATCTGCACAAAAAAAAAGTTTCACTTTGTCATTATAGGGTATTGTGTGTAAATTGATGAGGGATTTTTTTAGTTTTTAATCAATTTTAGAATAAGGCTGTAAAGTCAAGGGGTCTGAAAACGTTCCGAATGCGCTGTATATACTGAGTATACAAAACATGAAGAACTTTCTCTTTCCATGACATAAACTGACCAGGTGAATACAGGTGAAAGCTATGATCCCTTATTGATGTCACTTGTTAAATCCACTTCAAATCATTGTAGATGAAGGGGAGGAGACCGGTTAAAGAAGGATTTTTAAGCCTTGAGACAATTGAGACATGGAGTGTGTCAAGGACTGCAACGTTGCTGGGTTTTTCACACTCAACAGTTTTCCGTGTGTATCAAGAATGGTCCACCACCCAAAGGACACCCAGACAACTTGACACAACTGTGGGAAGCATTGGAGTCAACATGGGTCAACATCCCTGTGGAACGCTTTCGACACCTTGTAGTCCATGCCCGACACTTTGAGGCTGTTCTGTGGCTGCTGCTGTTTGATAACAAATAACAAAACACTCTCCCATAGCAACATAACACACACACACACACACACACACATGCATGACCGCACAAAGAAACCATCTACTCACCATTCACCATATTGAGCTGAGAGGGGGTGTTGGCGTGTGTTTTAGCCTGGGCTGGAGGGCTGCTGGCTGGGGTGGAGGCCGGGGGAAGCTGGGTGGTGCTGGAGGTCTGGGGCTGGGACTCAGATGTAGGTTCAGCTGGGGGAGAGGTGGTGGTAGTGGTTGTAGGATGAGGACTGAGGGGCTGTTTAGGCTGGGTAGAGGTCTCTGGGTTAGGGCTGGGGGTTGAGCTGGGCTGGGGGGCAGAGGTGGTGTTAGTGGTGGTCTCAGGCCTAGTAGGGGCTGGTTTAGCTGGGGAATCGGTGGTGGTGGGTGAGTGGGTTTTGGGATGATGGGTGGAGGGATGAAGGGAATGGCTCGATGGAGTGGTGTGGTGGACAGGTGTGTGTGGGGTGGGGTGGGGGTGGTGGTGGTGGTGGGAGCTTTGTGTATGAGGACTGCAGTATTGGGTGTGTGAGAATGGTCAGTTGGGTTGTCAAAGGGGGCAACAGGGGGCTGTACGGTCTCTTCGGTGAGGTTCCTCGGGGCAGGGGCCTTCTCAGGGATGGGAGGGGGGGCAGGGACCCCCACACTGATGGCTAGAAGAGAGTGAAAGAGTGGTTTTAAAGTGAAATTCAATACAAGGAAAAGAAGGATACAGCTCATAATATGAAGAGAGAAAAGAAGCAGTGTTGTCATGAGATAATATAGAACCAGGGGCGCAACTTTCACTGGGGACGGGGGGGGGACATGACTCCCAAACATTCTGAAATTGCATTTTTGTCCCTCCAAGATATATAACTGTACTGAGATACAAAAAGTGCCATCCGTGTGCTTTAGGACCATGCGGACGCCTCAGAGTGGTCGAGTAGGCTGTTTGGCGGTTTCAGAAGCTCCTGCACGTCATCCCTAGCCGACACTGTCAGCTACTGTTCACCAGCACTGAACTTCTTACATCCCCTTTCTCGGTCTTAGCAAGACACTGACTACACTTTAGCTAGCTAGTAAGCAGAGCAGTATATCAAAACATAATTTTATTTTACTTAGCCTAGATAATTGTTTGTACAGTATGTCTACTTTGGTGCCTAATTCAGACCTTATGGCATTTTTCAAGGATGAGCATTAAAAGGGGAGAAGACCACAATAAGTCTGGCCATGTGGAGAAGTGGAGCTATAGTGAGGGGAAACTGACTGGTTTGGTCAGGGCCAGCATGAGGGATAGTTTATCCTGTGTCGGTGAGTGTAGCTATTATGTTAACCTCTTCTGGATAGGACCCTTCATCTCAATATCTGCCTAAAATGACATGCCCAACTCTAACTGCCTGTAGCTCAGGACCTGAAGCAAGGATATGCATATTCTTGATACTATTTGAAAGGAAACACTGAAGTCTGTGGAGATGTGAAACTAATGTAGGAGAATATAACACAATAGATCTGGTCAAAGATCAAACAAAAAAACATGCGTTTCTATTTTTATTTTTGATCCATCATATTTGAAATTCAAAATTAGATGTTGTCCACAACAGGGCAACAGTTTGTGTGCAAATTTCAGATGGATACATTCAAGAATGAGAGAGCTACATACTATTTAGTATGAAGTCTCCCAGGTGTCCCTCACGAGTTTGCCCAAATGTACCCAAGTGGCTGAATTGGTCAATTGATACATTTTAAAGTACATAACTATAGAGAACATACAAAAATGCTATGGTAATAAACATTTAAATTTACACACTCCCAGGAATGTCATGCATGATGGATCATTAGCTTCCCTACATAAAAGGTACTAACAGGAGACGCGGCGAGAACGCTGATCCAATGCCTCCCAACACAGAAGTTAACTATTTCAGATAAGGGCCAAGTTAGCAGCCAACACTGATCTAATGTAATAAGTGCACACACCACAAGCCACACACAAAGTGAAAAAAAAAAACTATTTACACACTATTTACAATTAGAGTATTTAGAACACCCACAGTCCTCTACACAAGATTGTTCTGCTGATGCCAAGTCCCATAGCAGTCTCTTTCTGCTGTGAAGAAGAGGGTAACAGCACAAGTAGTGCAGGTGATGGGAGATTGTGGCACAGAGTACAACGACGCCTTCCTGCTGTGCTCTTTTGGCCCTGAGGCACATTCAGGTCTGCAGTTATGTACACTGCTCAAAAAAATAAAGGGAACACTTAAACAACACAATGTAACTCCAAGTCAATCACACTTCTGTGAAATCAAACTGTCCACTTAGGAAGCAACACTGATTGACAATAAATGTCACATGCTGTTGTGCAAATGGAATAGACAACAGGTGGAAATTATAGGCAATTAGCAAGACACCCCCAATAAAGAAGTGGTTCTGCAGGTGGTGACCACAGACCACTTCTCAGTTCCTATGCTTCCTGGCTGATGTTTTGGTCACTTCTGAATGCTGGTGGTGCTTTCACTCTAGTGGTAGCATGAGACGGAGTCTACAACCCACACAAGTGGCTCAGGTAGTGCAGCTCATCTAGGATGGCACATCAATGCGAGCTGTGGCAAGAAGGTTTGCTGTGTCTGTCAGTGTAGTGTCCAGAGCATGGAGGCGCTACCAGGAGACAGGCCAGTACATCAGGAGACGTGGAGGAGGCCGTAGGAGGGCAACAACCCAGCAGCAGGACTGCTACCTCCGCCTTTGTGCAAGGAGGAGCAGGAGGAGCACTGCCAGAGCCCTGCAAAATGACCTCCAGCAGCCACAAATGTGCATGTGTCTGCTCAAACGGTCAGAAATAGACTCCATGAGAGTGGTATGAGGGCCTGACGTCCACAGGTGGGGGTTGTGCTTACAGCCCAACACCGTGCAGGGCGTTTGGCATTTGCCAGAGAACAACAAGATTGGCAAATTTGCCACTGGCGCCCTGTGCTCTTCACAGATGAAAGCAGGTTCACACTGAGCACATGTGACAGACATGACAGAGTCTGGAGACGCCATGAAGAACGTTCTGCTGCCTGCAACATCCTCCAGCATGACTGGTTTGGTGGTGGGTCAGTCATGGTGTGGGGTGGCATTTCTTTACGGGGCCGCACAGCCCTCCATGTGCTCGCCAGAGGTAGCCTGATTTGGTACCGAGATGAGATCCTCAGACCCCTTGTGAGACTATATGCTGGTGCGGTTGGCCCTGGGTTCCTCCTAATGCAAGACAATGCTAGACCTCATGTGGCTGGAGTGTGTCAGCAGTTCCTGCAAGAGGAAGGCATTGATGCTATGGACTGGCCCGCCCGTGCCCCAGACCTGAATCCAATTGAGCACATCTGGGACATCATGTCTCGCTCCATCCACCAACGCCACGTTGCACCACAGACTGTCCAGGAGTTGGCAGATGCTTTAGTCCAGGTCTGGGAGGAGATCCCTCAGGAGACCATCCGCCACCTCATCAGGAGCATGCCCAGGCGTTGTAGGGAGGTCATATAGGCACGTGGAGGCCACACACACTACTGAGCCTCATTTTGACTTGTTTTAAGGACATTACATCAAAGTTGGATCAGCCTGTAGTGTGGTTTTCCACTTTAATTTTGAGGGTGACTCCAAATCCAGACCTCCATGGGTTGATACATTTGATTTCCATTGATAATTTTCGTGTGATTTTGTTGTCAGCACATTCAACTATGTAAAGAAAAAAGTATTTAATAAGATTATTTCATTCATTCAGATCTAGGATGTGTTGTTTAAGTGTTCCCTTTAATTTTTTTGAGCAGTGTATTTTGGCAGGTGAACACCACTGGTGGCAGGAGTAGAGGGGACAGAGGTAGAGGGGACAGAAGGTGCTGCAGTGGACTTTGTGCCATAGTCAGGAAGCTCCTGGATGAGCAGCTCTCTGAAGGCTAGCTGTGTCATGGGGGTCTGTCCACAGCTCTTAGCCATTTCCTTCTGGTGGATGAATGCATTCACCACAGCAATGCCGATGAAGTGATAGAATCTCAGTTGTCTTGTACCATTTCATTGTCTTGTGGAAAACATTGTAGTAGCCTATCAGCACGTCTGACAGGTCCACACCTCCCATGCCCTTGTTGTAATCCTTTACAGCAGCTGGAATGGGGAAATGTTTCTTGGTCCATGCCCCATTAGCATCCTTCAAACGACCTGCTGACGTGATTGCCACTGTACGATTTGTGGATACTGGAACACATGACCACCTCTCTGGTATCCATCCACTTTACAAAGAGCAGGTCATCTTTACGAATTCATCGCATGGTACCCCTATCAGCTCTCTTAGGCATGTCGTTTACTTTCATTTTGGGAACACCCACTCTGTTGGGACGATTGGTGCCACAAGACAATACATTCAGCTTCCTCCGGTCTGTAAACAGGGTAGGGCTTGTGTAAAAGTTGTCCACAAATAGTTTGTGGCCCATCCCCAGCAGTGGAAAATCCAAAAATTCCATAACGGAATCATAACTAAGTCCCTTACCTGTGGCTGAGATGGATTTACCCTCGTAAACAAAACAATTCCAAGTGTAGGCACACACAGAATCGGCCAAAACAAACTGTTTGTAACCACTCTTTGTTGGCTTGTTATGCATACAGTTGAAGTCGGAAGTTTACATACAGTGAGGGAAAAAAGTATTTGATCCCCTGCTGATTTTGTACGTTTGCCCACTGACAAAGACATGATCAGTCTATAATTTAAATGGTAGGTTTATTTGAACAGTGGGAGATGGAATAACAACAAAAAAATCCAGAAAAACGCATGTCAAAAATGTTATAAATTGATTTGCATTTTAATGAGGGAAATAAGTATTTGACCCCTCTGCAAAACATGATTTAGGACTTGGTGGCAATTCCCTTGTTGGCAATCACAGAGGTCAGACGTTTCTTGTAGTTGGCCACCAGGTTTGCACACATCTCAGGAGGGATGTTGTTCCACTCCTCTTTGCAGATCTTCTCCAAGTCATTAAGGTTTTGAGGCTGACGTTTGGCAACTCGAACCTTCAGCTCCCTCCACAGATTTGCTATGGGATTAAGGTCTGGAGACTGGCTAGGCCACTCCAGGCCCTTAATGTGCTTCTTCTTGAGCCATTCATTTGTTGCCTTGGCCGTGTGTTTTGGGTCATTGTCATGCTGGAATACCCATCAACGACCCATTTTCAATGCCCTGGCTGAGGGAAGGAGGTTCTCACCCAAGATGTGACGGTACATGGCCCCGTCCATCGTCCCTTTGATGCGGTGAAGTTGTCCTGTCCCCTTAGCAGAAAAACACCCCCAAAACATAATGTTTCCACCTCCATGTTTGACGGTGGGGATGGTGTTCTTGGGGTCATAGGCAGCATTCCTTCTCCTCCAAACACGGTGAGTTGAGTTGATGCCAAAGAGCTCGATTTTGGTCTCATCTGACCACAACACTTTCACCCAGTTCTCCTCTGAATCATTCAGATGTTCATTGGCAAACTTCAGATGGCCCTGTATATGTACTTTCTTGAGCAGGGGGACCTTGCGGGCGCTGCAGGATTTCAGTCCTTCACGGCGTAGTGTGTTACCAATTGTTTTCTTGGTGACTATGGTCCCAGCTGCCTTGAGATCATTGACAAGATCCTCCCGTGTAGTTCTAGGCTGATTCCTCACCGTTCTCATGATCATTGCAACTCCACGAGGTGAGATCTTGCATGGAGCCCCAGGCAGAGGGAGATTTACAGTTATTTTGTGTTTCTTCCATTTGCGAATAATCGCACCAACTGTTGTCACCTTCTCACCAAGCTGCTTGGCGATGGTCTTGTAGCCCATTCCAGCCTTGTGTAGGTCTACAATCTTGTCCCTGACATCCTTGGAGAGCTCTTTGGTCTTGGCCATGGTAGAGAGTTTGGAATCTGATTGATTGATTGCTTCTGTGGACAAGTGTATTTTATACAGGTAACAAACTGAGATTAGGAGCACTCCCTTTAAGAGTGTGCTCCTAATCTCAGCTCGTTACCTGTATAAAAGACACCTGGGAGCCAGAAATCTTTCTGATTGAGAGGGGGTCAAATACTTATTTCCTTCATTAAAATGCAAATCAATTTATAACATTTTTGACATGCGTTTTTCTGGATTTTTGTTTTGTTATTCTGTCTCTCACTGTTCAAATAAACCTACCATTAAAATTATAAACTGATCATTTCTTTGTCAGTGGGCAAACGTACAAAATCAGCAGGGGATCAAATACTTTTTTCCCTCACTGTACACCTTAGCCGAATACATTTAAATTCAGTTTTTCACAATTCCTGAAATGTAATCCTAGTAAAACTTCCCTGTTTTAGGTCAGTTAGGATCACCACTTTATTTTTAAGAATGTGAAATGTCAGAATAATAGTAGAGAGAATAATTTATTTCAGATTTTATTTCATTCATCACATTCCCAGTGAATCAGAAGTTTACATACACTCAATTAGTATTTGGTAGCATTGCCTTTAAATTGTTTAACTTAGGTTAACCATTTCGGGTAGCCTTCCACAAGCTTCCCACAATAAGTTGTGTGAATATTGGCCCATTCCTCCTGACAGAGCTAGTGTAACTGAGTCAGGTTTGTAGGCCTCCTTGCTCGCACACGCTTTTTCAGTTCTGCCCACACATTTTCAATAGGACTGAGGTCAGGGCTTTGTGATGGCCACTCCAATACCTTGACTTTGTTGTCTTTAAGCCATTTTACCACAACTTTGGAAGTATGCTTGGGGTCATTGTCCATTTGGAAGACCCATTTGCGACCAAGCTTTAACTTCCTGACTAATGTCTTGATATTCTGCTTCATTATATCCACATAATTTTCCTTCCTCATGATGCCATCTATTTTGTGAAGTGCACCAGTCCCTCCTGCAGCAAAGCACCCCCACAGCATGATGCTGCCACCCCTGTGCTTCACGGTTGGGATGGTGTTCTTCAGCTTGCAAGCAACCCCCTTTTTCCTCCAAACATAACGATGGTCATTATGGCCAAACAGTTCTATTTTTGTTTCATCAGACCAGAGGACATTTCTCCAAAAAGTACGATCTTTGTCCCAATGTGCAGTTGCAAACCGTAGTCTGGCTTTTTTATGGCGGTTTTGGAGCAGTGGCTTCTTCCTTGCTGAGCGGCCTTTCAGGTTATGTCGATATAGGACTCGTTTTACTGTGGATATAGATACTTTTGTACCTGTTTCCTCCAGCATCTTCACAAGGTCCTTTGCTGTTGTTCTGGGATTGATTTGCACTTTTCACCCCAAAGTACGTTCATCTCTAGGAGACAGAACGCGTCTCCTTCCTGAGCGGTATGACGACTGCGTGGTCCCATGGTGTTTATACTTGCGTACTATTGTTTGTACAGGTGAACGTGGTACCTTCAGGCGTTTGGAAATTGCTCCCAAGGATGAACTAGACTTGTGGAGGTCTACAATTTATGTTCTGAGGTCTTGGCTGATTTATTTTGATTTTCCCCTGATGTCAAGCAAAGAGGCACTGAGATTGAAGGTAGGCCTTGAAATACATCCACAGGCACACCAATTGACTCAAATGATGTCAATTAGCTTATCAGAAGCTTCTAAAGCCATGACATCATTTTCTGGAATTTTCCAAGCAATGCTGGAGTAGAGAGGTTTGATTTTGCAGAGCCTATCAAAGCTTGCTGTGCCTCTCTTCTTCTCATTGTAGTCGTCAGCTTGTGGGTCACTGATATGAAGCGCCCGCGAGATAGTCAGAAACCTGTTAGAAGACATGACAGTGGTGGGGAAAGGCAGTTGGTAGAGTCTTGAGCTTCTCCAGTAGTCCTTCAGGTTTTTCAACTTCACAAGCCCCATGTAAATGACCAGTGAGATGTAACAGTATAGGTCTTGGATGGAAATGGGCTTCTATTCCTCTTTCTTGCCTGCTTGCTTCTTAGCCCCATACTTGTTGGTGTTAGACACCAGCGAACCAAGAACTGACAAGGAGAAAAACGTCTGGAAAAGATGAAGGGGGCTGTACTTTCCAGTCATGTCCAGCTGAGGTACTAGCTGCCTTATAGGTCAAAATGTTGGTGGAAGTGGCTCCACATCATCCTCTAGCACAGTATGCCAACGGTCCTCTCCCTCGGTGGTAGTTGCTGCTGGTGCACTGGCCCTCCTCCGCTTCTGGGCTGGCCTCTTCACACCTCTAGATGGCCGGGCAGGGGTGGGTGTGGAGCCAGAGACAGCAGCAGGGGTCAGACTGGATGAACCAGTTCTGATGTTTGAATGAGTGGGGGATGGAGGACTTGAATGTGGTCTCTTTGGAGTTGGCTCCCAAAGGTCATCTGAGTCAGTCTCTACCACTATTGAGGATTTTTAAAGATACAGTCAGAACTCAAGTTTACTATTACTTATTTTATTTAACCTTTATTTTAGCAGGGGGTGAGCCCTGCATCAATACTTTTGCCCTGCATCAATACATCAAATACACAACACATATCTATAAACATATATATTATAAAGAGTAAGGGGAACACAATCAATATAATGAAATATGTGGACCAACAGGCAATAAGACACTCAAAAACCACAGACACAGCATGTCATAGCCAACATAACGTACACATAGGCTATGCTAATACATTGTATGCCTCAGGTCTAATATATATCTCTATATATATATACACTGCTCAAAAAAATAAAGGGAACACTTAAACAACACAATGTAACTCCAAGTCAATCACACTTCTGTGAAATCAAACTGTCCACTTAGGAAGCAACACTGATTGACAATGCATTTCACATGCTGTTGTGCAAATGGAATAGACAACAGGTGGAAATTATAGGCAATTAGCAAGACACCCCCAATAAAGAAGTGGTTCTGCAGGTGGTGACCACAGACCACTTCTCAGTTCCTATGCTTCCTGACTGATGTTTTGGTCACTTTTGAATGCTGGCGGTGCTTTCACTCTAGTGGTAGCATGAGACGGAGTCTACAACCCACACAAGTGGCTCAGGTAGTGCAGCTCATCCAGGATGGCACATCAATGCGAGCTGTGGCAAGAAGGTTTGCTGTGTCTGTCAGCGTAGTGTCCAGAGCATGGAGGCGCTACCTGGAGACAGGCCAGTACATCAGGAGACGTGGAGGAGGCCGTAGGAGGGCAACAACCTAGCAGCAGGACCGCTACCTCCGATGAAAGCAGGTTCACACTGAGCACATGTGACAGACGTGACAGAGTCTGGAGACGCCGTGGAGAACGTTCTGCTGCCTGCAACATCCTCCAGCATGACCGGTTTGGTGGTGGGTCAGTCATGGTGTGGGGTGGCATTTCTTTGGGGGGGCCGCACAGCCCTCCATGTGCTCGCCAGAGGTAGCCTGACTGCCATTAGGTACCGAGATGAGATCCTCAGACCCCTTGTGAGACCATATGCTGATGCGGTTGGCCCTGGGTTCCTCCTAATGCAAGACAATGCTAGACCTCATGTGGCTGGAGTGTGTCAGCAGTTCCTGCAAGAGGAAGGCATTGATGCTATGGACTGGCCCGCCTGTGCCCCAGACCTGAATCCAATTGAGCACATCTGGGACATCATGTCTCGCTCCATCCACCAACGCCACGTTACACCACAGACTGTCCAGGAGTTGGCAGATGCTTTAGTCCAGGTCTGGGAGGAGATCCCTCAGGAGACCATCCGCCACCTCATCAGGAGCATGCCCAGGCGTTGTAGGGAGGTCATACAGTCACATGGAGGCCACCCACACTACTGAGCCTCATTTTGACTTGTTTTAAGGACATTACATCAAAGTTGGATCAGCCTGTAGTGTGGTTTTCCACTTTAATTTTGAGGGTGACTCCAAATCCAGACCTCCATGGGTTGATACATTTGATTTCCATTGATAATTTTTATGTGTCAGCACATTCAACTATGTAAAGAAAAAAGTATTTAATAAGATTATTTCATTCATTCAGATCTAGGATGTGTTGTTTAAGTGTTCCCTTTATTTTTTTGAGCAGTGTATATACACACACTACCAGTCAAAATTTTGGACACACCTACTCATTCACTATTTTTTACATTGTAGAATAATAGTGAAGACATCAAAACTATGAAATAACACATATAGAATCATGTAGTAACCAAAGAAAGTCATAAACAAATCAAAATAGATTTTATATTTGAGATTCTTCGTATAGCCACCCTTTGCCTTGATGACAGGTTTGCACACTCTTGGCATTCTCTCAACCAGCTTCATGAGGTAGTCACCTGGAATGCATTTCAATTAACAGGTGTGCCTTCTTAAAAGTTAATTTGTGGAATTTATTTCCTTCTTAATGCGTTTGAGCCAATCAGTTGTGTTGTGACAAGGTGAGGGGGGGGGGGGTATACCAAGAAGGAGAGTGATGGAGTGGTGCATCAGATGACCTGGCCTCCACAATCCCCCGACCTCAACCCAATTGAGATGGTTTGGGATGAGTCGGACGTCAGAGTGAAGGAAAAGCAGCCAACAAGTGCTCAGCATATTTGGGAACTCCTTCAAGACTGTTGGAAAAGCATTCCAGGTGAAGCTGGTTGAGAGAATGCCAAGAGTGTGCAAAGCTGTCAAGGCTATACGAAGAATTTTGATATGTTTAACACTTTTTTGGTTACTACATGATTCCATATGTGTTATTTCATAGTTTTGATGTATTCACTATTATTCTTCTATGTAGAAAATAGTAAAAATTAAGAAAAACCCTTGAATGAGTAGGTGTGTCCAAACTTTTGACCGGTACTGTATATAATTTATGTATGTATGTATGTATGTATGTATGTATGTATGTATGTATGTATGTATGTGTGTATATATATATATATATATATATATATATATATATATATATATATATATATATATATCAAAGAAAAATATCTCAAAGGAATATGCAACCATTCAAACAACTGCATTAGCATGAGAAGCAAAAACGTATTTTACTTACTGATCTAAAAGTGGATCGTTTCTTTCCAAAAACATTTATTCTGCGCTGGTATCAAAACTGTGCTCACTCACAGAGTCCTCATCTATTCCTTCTGTGTCACTCTCCAGGTCAATTTCTGCAATAATCTCATCCAAATTTGGATACTTGGACTTCAATTTAGCCTTTCCACTCTTAGTAGCCATGTTTTACTTTTTCAGTTTTGAGTAAAGTGTGTAGAAGAGAATGAACCGCTGCGTAACGTAAACTATCGTCCGTCCTGTGTGCTTTCACCTGGGAATGAACACTGTTGCTCACAGCTCTAGCATGATGGCTGTTTGTCGTACAAAGGGGGTTCACATACTGTTGGAAAGCCCAGCTCATTGGCTATCTATCTATCTAGCTATGTTTCATAGGTGGTCATTGGAACAAGACACTGTCAATCAAGTGAACATCGCTCATCTCATTGGTGCGTAATGATTGCTGACCTTCATGGGTTAATTGACGTGTTGTGTAGACAATATGTAATGTAAAATGATTAAACAGTTTGGTTGCCTTCTAGAGTGTCTGACGATTGCACAGAAACTGAACTTGACCAGGTTAAACAACGTTTTGTTGCAAGTTGAAAGAGTCGGAATTCCTGCAAAACGCTGTATAAAACATGGATCATGTTAGGATATTAAAATGGATTTTATCAAACAAAACTATGCTACATTTTATCTCTGGGACCCTAAGGATAACAAAACAGAGCAAGATTACTGAATGTAAGTACATTATTTACCGTCAGAGGTGAATGTATCAAACCAGTTGCCTTGATAAAAGTGTTTTGTTGTTGTGCACTATCCTCAAACAATAGCATGGTATTTATTTCTCACTGTAATAGCTACTGTAAATTGGACACTGCAGTTAGATTAACAATCATTTAAGATTTCTGACGATATAAGACATGTCTATGTCCCGGAAAGTTAGCTGTTGTTTACAACGCAATTCTAGTCACATATTGCATATTGAGCAGCAACTGTCCCTATTTCAGGACACTGATCCTGTAGAAGTTAAGTTTGAGCATCTTAGCCATACAATGTGTTCTATACAGCTGTCAACATTCTACAAGGAAGGGGCCACTTAATCAATTACAGTGGGGAAAAAAAGTATTTAGTCAGCCACCAATTGTGCAAGTTCTCCCACTTAAAAAGATGAGAGAGGCCTGTAATTTTCATCATAGGTACACGTCAACTATGACAGACAAAATGAGAAGAAAAAAGACCAGAAAATCACATTGTAGGATTTTTAATGAATTTATTTGCAAATTATGGTGGAAAATAAGTATTTGGTCACCTACAAACAAGCAAGATTTCTGGCTCTCACAGACCTGTAACTTCTTCTTTAAGAGGCTCCTCTGTTCTCCACTCGTTACCTGTATTAATGGCACCTGTTTGAACTTGTTATCAGTATAAAAGACACCTGTCCACAACCTCAAACAGTCACACTCCAAACTCCACTATGGCCAAGACCAAAGAGCTGTCAAAGGACACCAGAAACAAAATTGTAGACCTGCACCAGGCTGGGAAGACTGAATCTGCAATAGGTAAGCAGCTTGGTTTGAAGAAATCAACTGTGGGAGCAATTATTAGGAAATGGAAGACATACAAGACCATTGATAATCTCCCTCGATCTGGGGCTCCACGCAAGATCTCACCCCGTGGGGTCAAAATGATCACAAGAACGGTGAGCAAAAATCCCAGAACCACACGGGGGGACCTAGTGAATGACCTGCAGAGAGCTGGGACCAAAGTAACAAAGCCTACCATCAGTAACACACTACGCCGCCAGGGACTCAAATCCTGCAGTGTCAGACGTGTCCCCCTGCTTAAGCCAGTACATGTCCAGGCCCGTCTGAAGTTTGCTAGAGTGCATTTGGATGATCCAGAAGAGGATTGGGAGAATGTCATATGGTCAGATGAAACCAAAATAGAACTTTTTGGTAAAAACTCAACTCGTCGTGTTTGGAGGACAAAGAATGCTGAGTTGCATCCAAAGAACACCATACCTACTGTGAAGCATGTGGGTGGAAACATCATGCTTTGGGGCTGTTTTTCTGCAAAGGGACCAGGACGACTGATCCGTGTAAAGGAAAGAATGAATGGGGCCATGTATCGTGAGATTTTGAGTGAAAACCTCCTTCCATCAGCAAGGGCATTGAAGATGAAACGTGGCTGGGTCTTTCAGCATGACAATGATCCCAAACACACCGCCCGGGCAATGAAGGAGTGGCTTTGTAAGAAGCATTTCAAGGTCCTGGAGTGGCCTAGCCAGTCTCCAGATCTCAACCCATAGAAAATCTTTGGAGGGAGTTGAAAGTCCGTGTTGCCCAGCGACAGCCCCAAAACATCACTGCTCTAGAGGAGATCTGCAAGGAGGAATGGGCCAAAATACCAGCAACAGTGTGTTTAAACCTTGTGAAGACTTACAGAAAACTTTTGACCTGTGTCATTGCCAACAAAGGGTATATAACAAAGTATTGAGAAACTTTTGTTATTGACCAAATACTTATTTTCCACCATAATTTGCAAATAAATTCATTAAAAATCCTACAATGTGATTTTCTGGATTTTCTTTTCTCATTTTGTCTGTCATTGTTGACGTGTACCTATGATGAAAATTACAGGCCTCTCTCA